ACTCCATTCCCGGCCTGGCACAAACAACTGTGTTGCACGTCGAGGAGGAGCCGAGCACAAAGAGCTCACGAGTGTATTTCGCTCAGGTTGCTCACGTGGCCGGTCCCAGCTCCTGATGATCTTTGCTACAGACGTGCGCTTCCTCTCTCAAAGCTGCTCAGCACGAACCTAAGCTGTCACCACCTGCAGGGCCCTTGGGAGGTGTCGTACCCGGAAGCACAGGGCCCTCTAAGGCAGCAGCTAGTCAGCTGGGAGGAGAGCTCCACCCGTTCTCCCACCAGCCTGACGGGAGGAGGCCCTGTGAGGAAACCAGGGGACAGGACTCAGGGTCCAGGCTCGCACGGCTGGTGTGCTGCCTCCCTGTCCTCGGCCGTGGGTGTTTACTAGGTTTCTCGCGGGTCCTCCGTTGAGCAGCGTGTCACAGGGCTTCTCATTCCTGTACACTCACACCGATGGGCAGACACAGGCCTTTCCACAGCTCCGTTTCCTGCCTGCAGCAGGCCGCAAGGACATGACCACACATGCACACGCCCAGACAAGTGCACACACGCATGCACACGTGCATGCACACATGCCTTCCTCTCCCAATTAAAGGAAACCGAAGGCCTCAGGAGGCAGAAGAGAAACTTGGCCCTGTGGGACCCGGTGCTGTCTTCTCTCACAGACTGCATTTCCATAAAGGGCACGACTGTTCCTGAGGTCTCTCTGTCCCCCAAGAGATGAAGACCTGCATCCATAGACACGGAGGGCGGAGGCCAGAGTCGCAGGAAAAAAGAGGGAAAAGCTCTAGTTCTTGTTGACATGCGTTTTCCTTCCTGGGGCGGGACAGAGAGCTCATTTTATAAGGGATTCAAATCACTGCTCTTTCTAGCAGTGTCTCTGGCTCTACTACGCTACCACGCGCCAGGAGCGGGTTCTCCGAGCTCCTTCCGAGAGTAAGCTGACTCTGAGCCTGCCCAGCCCTCAGCCCGTGACAGGCTGTCATCGGGCAGCCTCTGTGAGCCCCCGGCCTGCCATCAGCTCTGACAGCAGAGACACTTCCCTTGCTTCTCTCATCCTCCTGGGGTTAGGTGGGAGACACTGGTTAAACGAGAAGACAAACCCTCTGAAACACAGTTGGTAAAGTTCTCTTCCAAACACCGCTGGTCAGCCGTGTCTTCCGCCGCGGGCAGAGGACAGAGAGAACACGGTGAGCCGCCACCGCCAGCGGGCAATGCCGCTTGCCGGCGCGCTGACTGGCGGGGATGGGAGAAACGACGTCGGCTCACCCTGCTCAAAGCCACTGCGTCTGTAGTGGTCCAGCGCCAGCTCCTCCACAGAGCACAGGACTGTGGCGGGGGCAGCCGTGTCCCCAGCCTCCACGACAAACATGGACTTGCCCATCCCGTGCTGTGGGCACAGCCTGCCCGTGATGGTCACCTAGGACGCAGCAGAAGAGTATCTGTCAGCCTAGTCTAGCCAACGCTCTGAAAAGCTGCCTAGCGTACCCTTAGGCTAAACCCTCCTTCCCTCAGGGACACGTACTCAGAGCGCACACGTGACCCACACCGGTACAGGACAGGCCCATCGCAGCCACTGGAGAGCACCTGACATCGCAGCAGCTCCCCAGGCGCCCGGAGCAGCAGGCAGAAGTAGCAGACACCGTGGCTCCTCCAGCCCAGGAGCGACCGCGCTGCCCGCCCGGTGTCACCGGGAGGAGGGCACAGGGCGACAGTGTGCGCAGCGACCACAGCACCCTCAGAAACGAGCCTCAGAGTTTCCAAGTTCACGAGAAAATGCACACGGAATCTGCTCTGAGGCCGCTTCCAGCCAGAAGAACCAAGTCAATGGTTTAAACCTGAAGCGTCCAGAAGGGATGTGGGGATGCAGCTCAGGGTCGAGCACACACGCACACGCACACGCACACGCACACGCACAAGGCCCTGGGTTTGAACAGCAGCGCCCAAAGAACACTTACGTGTTTAACATCTTCCACAGCCATCTCTGGCAGCTGCTGGAAGAGACGCTTGTACTTTTTACAGCTCGGGGACTCCCGCAGGCGCACGGCTCTCTGATAGAGTGAAAGGCGGTGCCCCGTCCTTACTTCTGGATCTGCCAGCCCTGCGATGATGCATCTGACAGCCTAGAAAATAAGGCATCACACATCAGGATCCCAGGAGGCCCAAGGGAATCATGCATTCACTGAATCTGACAGGAAAGCCCACTCGTCATGACTCAGTTTTGCTAACTAGCCAGTAAGTAAACAGCGCTTCGGGAGACACACGCGCTTAGAGGTTACTCTGTTTCCAGTATCAGGCCAACTGGAACCCTCCGTGTAAATGTGATACTGGCACAGATGGCCTGTTGCCAATGTGGGCAGTGGATCGCAGTGGCACCTCCGACTGTGACCCGTAGGACACCCTGTGCTGCAGGCTGGAGGAGACTTTAGAGGGACACAGCTGGGGAGCTGGGAAAGAAACACGTGCCACACCCCGCCCGGGAGTGGGGAGCCTCGGTGCGGGGCCAGGCATCTGCCCCGTCATCGCTCCTAGGGACTCACACGCAGCCAGGACCACGGGGTTGGGCCAGATTCCTCATTCACAGGGAGATGCAGCGAGGCTCTGCAGGAGTTTACCATACTTCCTACGATTATTCAGAGACACAGAAACAAACAGGAATACCAAAAACCACAGAAGAGACCACTTGACACCTAGTAGGATAGCTGTCATCAGAGACCACTTTACACCTAGTAGGACAGCTGTCATCAGAAAAATGGAAAATAACAAGTGTGGGCAAGGGTGTGGGAAAATTGGGAACCTCAGGCCTTGCTGGGAGGAGTACAAAAATGGTGCAAACTCAGTCAAGAACAGTTCAAATGCTCCTCAAACAACTAAGCATAAAGTTACCATATGACCCAGCCATTCTACTTCCGGGTATATCCCAAAAGAATTAAAAACAAGACTCGAACAAATATTTATGTATGTGTGTTCACAGCAAAACTTCCCACAATAGCCAGAAGGTGGAGCAGCCCAAGGGTCCATCTTTGGGGGACTGGATAAGCCAGCTGCAGTCGACATGTACAGCGCAGTAACACGTAAAAATGAATCAAGTCCTGCACGCTGCAGCACAGAGGAAGGCTGGCAACATTATGCGAAAGGAAACAAGCCACAAGAGGACATGAGATACCTAGGACAGGCTCGTTCGCAGAGGCACGAGGCAGCTGAGAGGCGAGCAGCGACTGGGAGAGGGGAGAATAGAGCGTAGCTGCTTCGTGGTTACGAATTTGTTTGCGATGATAAAGGGACAGTAGCGATGGCTGTAAAACACTGTGCATATAATTAATGCCACTGAATTTTACACGTAAACAGTGTTCAAATGGTAAACGTTATGTGCACGTTACAGATATTCTATCACAAAAGAAAAAATAAAAAGGGAAAAGGGAAACCAAAAAATCAATTGAAGCTCAGGCCACGAGGAATGAGACAGGGACACTGGTGCCTGCTCTGCCCCCGGCAGGGACACGGCGCGCAGAGGCTGCTGCAGAGGGAAAGGCCAGGCCACCGGGCCTCGGCCCAGAGTTCCCGCTGGCTGCCGGGGCTCTGCGGGAGTAAGCCCGGAAAGATGCCGCCCAGGAACGCGAGCCACGAGCGCGGCCCGGGAGACTGCTGGGCAACAGCTGAAAGGGACGAGAGCTTCTCGGCATCAGAAGTGAGCTCAGCAGCCTGCCCGCCACTAGGGGTCCAACTGAGTGCATGCAACTGTGAGCAGGTGGATGGTGTGACGTCTTTGAACCTTGGCTGCCACGGAAGAGCAGCACAAGCACAGACCCTCTCCCCTCCAGGCTTGGTTCTAGACCCCCAGAGCCTTCCCTGGCTACCGCAGCTTCCCCAGCGCCGACAGGGCGGAGGCACCACAGCCACCCCCACGACAGAACACCGCTCCCAGCGGCCCTGGGACGGGCACCTGAGGTAACAAGGCACTTTTCAGTGGACGGCAATGAAAACATCATGTCACAGTTCTAATTCCATGGCCACTTTTTTCCACTCCTACATCACTCTGATTCACTTAATGTGCCAGTGGAAAAAACACAAGCTCCCGGAGGCACAGACCCTCCATTCAACGCAAATGCAGGGCTGGGCGGAGACAGGAGGGGACTGTCAGCAGCTACACAAAGAGCCACTGTGGCCGCCGCGCCGGCAGCAGCCTCGGGCGCCCCACCCTGCCTGCTCACTGCGGCAACAGGGTCCTCTGCTGAAGTCCCCAGGAACCCCAGCACAGACAGCCCTGGAGCCCTGAGAGAAGCCAGCCAGCTCAGGGTCAGCCAGACGCTTGTCCATGGCAGAGCAAAGCGCCTCACACAAGGACGGAGAGCTGCTCTCAAAGCACCTGCAACAAGGTAAGGAGAGGAATATTTTATTCAGCGTTTCTCCCTAGAGAGCTCACACAATAAACCGATCACCGTTTCCAAGAAAAACCACCCACTGCAAGTGCAGCCCAGTGAGAGCATTTGCACGAAGCCCTCAGTCTGATCCTCAATACTAAAAAAACCAAAAACCGAAAAAAGGCCAACACCTGCTGAAGGCTAAGACACCTCACCCGCCCTCTCTTGATTCCTAGATCCGAACTCCTGCCAATGAAGCTCCTTGGTCAGTCAGACAGCGAGAGGTCTCCTGCTTGCACTAGTGTCATCCCGGGGATGTCTCCCAGGGATGGAAAAACCCAAATGCCAACAGAAGAAAGAAATGTTCGAATTATTTTTAGAGCTCTAAAATATTTAATGGGCTGGCACTGTAGCTCAGTGGTACAGTGCCCGCTTAGCATGTGTGAGGCCCTGGCTTTGATCCCCAGCATGAAGAGAAGAAAAGAGAAGATGGTTTAAAGTTTGCCGCATTTAAAAAATGCATTGAAAAGGAGAGCTTCAGATCTTTGTTACCGCTCAGATCTAAGATGTCCCCAGAGTTCGCAAGTGTGTGGAGACTGGGTCATGCGGTGCTATCACCGCCAGTGGACTCGGCCATGGATGACTCAGCAGCTGAATGTGGGGCTTGGAGGCGGGGTCTGGTGGGCGGTGGGCCTGGTGGGGCTGTGTCCCTGGGTTCCTCACTTCCAGGGCACATTCTGAGCCCGCTCTCCTCCCTTCCCTCTGCCCCGTGGCCGCCATGATGCGAGTACTTTCTTCCTCTGCCTCTTCCCCCAGTCCCCGTCTGCTCGGAGCCAGCAAATCACAGACTAACAACTGTGAGCCTAGATAAACCTGTCCTCCTTTAAGCTGTGGGTGTCGGGGACTGTGTCCAGTAACAGGAGAGGGACCGGGACAGTGTCCTCCTGAGTACCGGTTCCAGGCGCTTCAGGTGCTGGTGCAGGTTAAGAGCCAGTCGATCCCACCATCGGCCTCTGCTGTCAGGGCAATAAACTTCCTGAGACAAAAGGTTTTCGAGTTCCTTGACGGCTTCCTGTTGCAACAACAACAAAGACAGCTCACTCGACTCTAAAACAATCAGCTATAGTTATATTCAGAAGCAGGAAGGATTGGCAAAGCATATTCATGCCGTGTGTCTCTCCATTCTGAGGCCAAGGACCACAATACGCCGTTCTGCGTGGGCCTGAGCTCCCGAGGCACCCTGTTTTACCGCAGACCCCTGCCTCCCGGTACCAAGCCTTCCCAGGTGTGAGCACGCTGCTCGATGTTCTCTGCAGGTCGCATCGGCCAGTGCAGAGTCCCCCGGGACCAAGCTGCAACAGGCAGCTGAGCAATGGTTAGGCTCAGAGCAGGAGAGACTTGGGGCAGGCAGAACGGTAACGGAGGGTGGCCTCCTTCAGATACGCCATGTAAACAGCGAGATCCTCTGGTCTAGATTTATGTATCAACTGTTCATTCTTTATGCTCATCTTCTGTGGCTCATGGCTCTCTTTAAAAGATGACTTACCCAAAGAATGCATAAACCCCTGTACACATGCAATTTGGAGATTCACGGATTCCCTAAGGCCCACCCACGGATCCTCTTGAGCTTCACAGACCCCAGGTTAAAAACTCAGCATAGTATATTCTCTCTTTAAAACACCCCTTCTTGATATTAAAATACCAAACACAACAAAAGGAAACTTTGGCAACTTCACAATGTTTGTTATAAAGATACGACCACATCTCTGACGCGTAACTATAAATCATTTCCAGACCACCTGAGACAGCCGACGTGGAAATATAAAGAGATGTGAGATTCCACCTCAGAGACCCTGGGGAAGCTCCCAAGAGACGCACTGAGTTCTGAAAGAGATCCAGGCTCAGGCTACAGAGACCTGTGTGGGCTTCCTTGCAGGCCTGGCCGTGACCCCAGGCCACTCTGTACACAGACTCATCACCTCGCAAGCCAGTAGAACAGATGTGGGTCTTCAGCGGTCTCTCTGCTAATTTGAAAGACAGCAGGTTGCCTGCATCAGATACGCTCTCATTGTACTACAGTACGCTGATCAAACACGGGCAACGCTGAGAGCTCAGGACGGTTCCCCTCACGTGGGAAGCAACGCGCTCTCCAACAAGAGCTCTAACCTCATACATGTGAAGCCTCTGCAGTATCTCAACAGTCCGCGACAAAATCCGTGTGTAAATCCAGCCAACGGTAAAACACCGCAGGAAGAGTGGTAAAGCCTCGTGGTACCTAAAGTGAAAATACACACCAGTTCATAACTGTAACAAATAATAGTGGTTAATAACTTGGTTTATTTGCTGTATGACAACTACAAGAAGTGGCAAAGAACACTGCATTCTTTTGAAAAGCTACAGTCTAACTACTTCCAGTTATGGACAATCCCCTTCACCACAAACCCACGTTCTTGGAGCCACCCTTTCCTAGGTTGCCCAGATGGTGGAGTAAGAGGAGAACTGGTAATACTGTAAGGAGAGGTGAGCAAACCGGCCCACAGGCCAGGGCCAAGCCCCCAATCTTCCTAGCCCTACGAACCAGCAAAGTGGTTTTACCTCTCTAAAGTAATTACTTCAAAAAGCATTTTATTATTTACTTTTGTGCACATATGGCTAGTATTTCTTTTTAAAGTATTTTGATACAGAAAATCACAAAAATTGCATATATTCGTACACAATGAGGTACTGTATGATGTTTCAATGCAAGTATCCACTGTGTAATCAGGTTAAACATATCTATCTCCTCCGACATTTATCACTTCATTACGGCAAAACACTCAAAACCCTTTCCTTTCATCTTTTGAGTGTACAACCCACAACCGCGATCTACACTCACACTGCTATGTCACAGCACACGGGAACTTCTTACTGCTGAGTAACTGAACTCACTACCCACGGATCAACCATTTCCCATCCTCCCTGCAGATTTTTACCTTTTTAAATAAATGAAATTAATCCAAAGGAGAATACTACTTTGCAAGGAGGACAATGACACTGAACTAAAGCCTCACTGTGCGTAAAGAAGGTGTACGGGACACAGCCAGGCTCACTCGTGGTGCCTCGTCCACAGCCGATGTGGTACGATGACGGCACGGCGAGGTCGCTGCCACAGAAGCCGCGGGGCCTGCCCGGCCTCGAAAACTGACTATCTGGCTTTTCCCAGAAGTTTAGCAGTTTCTGCTCTTCGGTAATCTAGCTTCTAATTTTCTGGCTATGACTTGTATGTCAACATTATTTTTATAAAAAGCATATCCTAAATATTTTCATAAAAGCAGCACTGGATAATCCTAATTTTTCTCATCACTAGGTATCAACAGAGGAAAAATCTTCTATAATGCTGCAGGTATTTAACACTTATTAGGCATTGTGCAGTGTGCTCCCAGAACTTCCAAAGTGAATGTGCACTTGCACTGCTTTTGCAGGACACCATGGACCTGGGTTTCCACCGGAAGAACACACATCTGCACCCTCACACCTAAAGTCAGCTCTGCAGTGCTCTAGAAGCCCACCCCCAGAAAGGCACTGGCAAGCTAGGCGCTGAACGTCCACTGTTCAGACCTCTGAGTGACATAAAATTCACCTGAAACTCTGCCATTGCCTTCTACCTCACCCAGCACTCTGATGCTATGCAAAGGGAGTAGAAAATGCCAATTCTGCCACGGATGTGACTGCAAAGCAAAAGGAGTGTGTTCTTTACAAATAAAATTTCCTTCAGAGGCTAGAAGGAGGGTCAGTAAGTAAATTTTGGCGGGTACCTAAGAATAACTCACTAGAGGTGTGGCTCACTGGTTGAGCACGTCCCCAATGTGTGCAAGGGCCCAAGTTCCATCTCTAGCACCAAGAAAAAGCTTTACCTCAGGGAAGGGTGGCCTTTCAGCTTGTCCCACTCCCTTCTCGCGCTGTCAGAGAGCTCCTTAGCTTCTTGCCAGTTCCCACTGGCCATGGCGGTGGAAATGTCATTCAGCATGTGCGCAGCTGCTGCATATCTGGGGGAGATGCCCCCCAAGTTTCAAATGTTAAGGAGTATTCCCATAAAAATGACCACATCCCAGCCACTGGATCAAACTCGGAAGCATCAAAGCATGCCTTGTACAATCTGAAGGGTTAGTAAGAATTGATCGTAACTGGCCCACTGGAATGGCCCAGAAGCACTTACAAAGGCTGCCCGCAATAAACAGTTATACTACATGATTCCACCACATCACAAGTCCCATTACATGCCTATGACACTGATCAGCTCAGCATCGCTGCTTTGTGATATCCATTCATTCGTTTGGTAGCCACCAAGGAGACACATAACTGACTCCAGAATCCTAGGAAGACACTGATTTGATAACTTAATCATGCATAATCAGATGTAGCCAGAGGATGCTGCCCAAGCTAAGAGACTTACTTAGAATATGTCAAAAATAACTTCGGGGGCACTGTTTAAACGATGGCCATGCTTATATTTTATTAATACCACTTAACTAAAGGCACATGATTTTTCATTGCTTCTTTAGATACCAAAAAAGTCATTTGACCAGTGGATTCTGGGAGACTTGGAGTGCATACTCACTGTATTTTGGGCTCATGTCAAAACAAAAGCATGCATTATCAGTATGTACAAACATAGTACATTGAGAAAAAAATTTCCTCCAAATATAAAAATCTCCTCACAAATGCTTATGTCTATTGACTGTACGATATGCTCCTGGACAGTTGATTCTGAGGTTGGTAAGAAAACAGGAATTTCACAGCCTGGCAGGGGCACCTTGTCTGGACCCTGTGTCTCCTCAGCCTCCTCTCCAACTTCAGGTGAGTGACCGCTTATCTCTGAGGTGCTGCTCAGAAGTGTCCTGCTTCCCGCGGGTGCTCCTCTCGAGCTAGGATCTGAAAGCTGGTTGCCCGAGGAACTGTGTTCTCTTCTCCCTCAGGGACCTCATTCAGCTCCAGAGCTTGAAGCACTAGTCACAGGCCAACGACTCCCAGAATCCTCTATATAGCCGGGACCCATTCGCTGAGCTCCTGACAGCACGTCCAAGGCCACGCAGAACAGCGCTACCCAAGCAGCTAAGGGAGCCCCACACTGACCCTCGGGGCAGCACCACCTCCCACGGTCCCTGGCCACCCTCCAGGCAGAACACCGGAGCCACCCTTGAGCCACTGCTCCTGTCTCTCCTATGTTTAATCACGAACCAGTTTGTACCTCTAAACTATCCAGACAGACTCACTTGTCTCACTTCTCCTGCCACTAGCCACAGCTGTCCTTCACCTAGACCACCATGAAGGTTGACACAGCCTTCGTTCAGTTTCTCTTGCTCCTCTCGGTCACAGGCTGCTTTGGTTAAAAGTACAAACTGATCACTCACTGGCCCAACCTCTTGAAAGCTTCAACTGCTCAGAGGGGGGCTGGGGATTTAGCTCAGCGGCACAGCGCCTGCCTGGCAAGCACAAGGTTGTGAGTTCAATTCCCGGTACCGGAAAAAAAAAAAAAAAAAAAAGAACTGCTCAGAGAATACGTTCAGTCTGCGCAGCTGGGCTCTGAGGATGAGCACCCTCTGCCCCTCCAGCCCCGGTCCCTGTGTGACTCCCTTTGAATTGCTGCCTACCGGGGCTTCAGAGTGGATGTCCCTGAGTTCCTCCACCTCAGCCGGCCCTTCCCACCTCACAGGCCGAGCACAGGCTCAGCTCACTTCCTTGCATCCCTGACACAGCTCCTCTTTTTCATTCTCAACCCTCCTTTCCGGTATCACCGTACAGGCCCCCTCCCTGACACTATCTGTAAGGCTGAGCTTCTCCAGCCTACCCCTCCACTGCTACGTCACTTTTCGTACACCGGTTACTGTTTATCGCCTAGCTCTCCACTGACATGCAAGCCCGTAACGGCAACGACCCCATCTTGTTCACAGCTCTGACCCCACTACCTGGGGATATAGCAGGTACTTGACACTCATCTCACTCTTACCAAACAAATGAAGATCAATCCTCTCGAGTACAGAAGTGAGCAAAAGGGACACCTAGGCCAGGTATGGTATTTCCAGGTATTGTACAAACAACCCTTCCTGAGTCAGTCAGACCCAATGTCATGTACATGTTAAGGCCTTTGTACTGCAAAGGGCATTTTAGCTACTTTATTACAGCATACCTACCTTGTACAAAGAACAGGAGATGGTTTAATTTTGTGCCCTAGTCCCCTCATTTATGAACTTATGAACTATGTTTTGTCAATCACAGAACTGTAAAGTAAACCCTTGGATATAACAGTAGTTATAATAACTAGGCACTATCCATGCAGCTACACGTATCTGTAAGAAGAGACTGTTATTCTCCCCATTTTACAGAGGAGGAAACAGGCACAGAGCAGTTTCAGAATCCATGAGCCTAGTGAAACTGCAGCTTGGCTTCAGGGCACACAGCCTCACACACGAGAAAAGCACAAAGCCACTACAAACAAACACAGTAAAACAACATGAGACCACTGCAGACGGGGGAAGAGGAGCTACTCGTGTGAGGAGGTTTGGCTAAGAAAGTTATTCTGATTAAACACAAGGAGGACAATGAGCTTCCTGACCGCTGAGGCAAATGGCAAAAATGAGGTGATCGCTTTGACTCAGCTGAGTAGCTTCCTTATTAAAGTACACGGCTACTCTATGCAATGCCGAAACACTTTCCCAAAAGCAATTACCTGAACCAATTTTGGTTAAATTTCAGTCAAAAACTTAAAGCAAGAATCGAAAGTGACATTTTAAGAAAACCAAAATCATTTTTCTTATAAATGGTAGTCTTTTAAAGGAAGTCCTTTTTCCTATAAGAACTATACTATTCTTTCTTATCAAAACCTACTTCTGCTGATCAAACTAAATTTTCATTAAATCCAAATACTAATATAAACTAGTGAAAATTTCTAACATCATGTGTGGAATTGTAATACACAATATACTAATTATTATTAGTGAAAACTTCTCATTTACCATGTACGTTATTCTAATATACTGTGTATGAATTATTATTAGATTTATGGTTATCACCAGGAAGTTTTAGTACAGGAAAACATTCATCTTCTGCCTTGTACATGCTCACAAAATATCTGCAAGGTAGGTTTGTTAAAATGTCTTTGTACTGAAAAAGTGCTTCCTGCCCAAGCTACCTGGGAACGCAGAGGAAAATTTCTCTAGTGCTAACTCAAAACCCACTGCACTTGGCAACCTTCACCTAAGGACATTGCTACATTCTCCCTGGAGACTTAAAATGCATTCAAGTAAGGCAAAAAGATAACAAAAACTACATCTTCAAAATGTGTTGACTGTGGACCTAATTTTCTACTTTGCCTGGAAGGAAAAATAATAAAATCTTTCATTAAATTTTAATAAATATTATGGTGAGTTAACATGCTCTTACCTGATAAGATCCTCTCTGTCTTGGAAGATTTGGGTTTTCCGATTGATGGTATAACTAGGAAACCCCATTCGGCCAAGAGTGACCAGAAGCACCGTAGAAAGCTGACCTTGACCACCACAAGCACCTTCTTCATCTTCCACAGAGTCAGTCAATGAAAACAGGAGTAAGATCCGAGAAAACACAGCCCTGGGACCTTTACAGACTCGCAGTGACTGTCCAGCCAGGCCTTTAGCTCTGAAAAATGTACATTACAGAAACACTTTTCTGGTTGTGACACAATTGTATATCATAGTTTACAAATTATTTTCACGTAAATATCACTGGGTATAGTGGTGTACGCCTATAATTCCAATGCTCTGGAAGCCTGAGGCAGGGTAATCTTAGAATGAATTCAGTTCAATTCTGGACGTCTGTAGGGTGAGCTTGGAGGTTTATCTAGAGCAGTGAGGGCTCTCTGAACTCCAGCAATTTACAGTCTATCGACTGCGGGACTTCCAAGGCTCAGCACTATTGACTTACGCTGGATAATTTTTGTTGTAGGATCTGTACCATGTATTACAGGCACTCAACAGCATCCCTGGCCTCCACTCCTGTGGTGCCATTAGCACGATGCTCTCCAGTGGTGACAATCAAACATGTCCCCAGATGTTATCAGAGACCTAAGGGGACCAGAGCAGGACCCCCATCAAACTACCATTTTATTATTTATTAAGCATCTTACAGCCTGCCCCAAATGCCCACATCCAGGCGGGGGTGTGGTCCACGAGTAAAACACTTGCCTAGCATGCACAAGTCCCTCGGTTCAATCCCTCGGGGTGCAAAGGAAGGAAGAAAGAAGGGAGGGAAGGAAGGAGGAGGAATTCTCACTTTCTCCATCCACAGACAGAGCCCAAGAGATGCCCTGGGCTGCAAGAGGAATCATTAAACAAGGAAACCAAGCAGCGATTCTCTACTAGGATTAAAAAGTACAAATAGCATACTTTGTTCTATTTCCTCAGACAGCAATAGAGAAAGATTACCAGGAACTGCCCCACTTTGGGTCTATTGGGAACTCTCTCAAATTCCACTGCTGGGCACTACATTAAAATGCACAAACAAGTACAATCTTAAAGGATTTTAGTATAACTAAAACAGTCTTAAGAATGTTATGCTTGAGGCTGGGCTAAACCTTGGACATCTTTGGGAAGCCCAGTGAGTCTGGGCTCTGCCTCCCTGACCAGTATGCAAGGCACGCAAAGCCTAGGGCCCGCATCTGGGGCCTTCGTGGCTACCCGCCACACCCATAGTGTGTGGATCTGGGCTGGGCTGAACCCCAGACATTTTCAGGAAGCCTGGTGAGCTGTAGCTTTGCATCCCTGACCAGTGTGCAAGGCAGGCAAAACCTTGGGCACCCTCTGGGGCCTAAGAGGCTCCCCGCCACACCCACAGTATGTCTTCCAGGGCTGGGCCGAACATCAGACACCTTTAAGAATCCAGTTAGCCACTCTGGGGCCTCCCCCACTAGGGTGTGAGGCATGTAGGTCCCTGGACAACTCCTGGGGCCTTGGTGGTCACTGTCAGAACAACTCACACCCCTCTGGTAGCTGAAACCTGAACACAGTCAGCAGCCTCAGGGAGCTCCCCATCACCGCTCCCCTTCCAGTGTGGGAAGCAGGCTCTGACCCAGGCAATATCTAAAGCCTTGGCAAACTCAACCTGCATCCCCTCCTACTGTTGTGGAAGCTGGGCCCAACTCCAGACAGCCTCAGGAACACCGGCGAGCCTCCCCCGCCCTTCCCAAACACTCCTGGGAGCCAACTGAATGCAAGAAAGGCCAGGAGCATCTGGGATCCCACCTTGCCACCACTCACCAGCACAGGAGCTACACTGAGCACTGGGGATCTTCAGACTCTCGCCCTGCCACTCACAAATGATCAGGACAGTGAGACTGCATTACAGGGAGTTTCTGGTTCCTCAAAAATGACAAAACAAAGCAGCAAAATGCAATCTCAGACCTCCACACCACCCAAAACAAGTCCAGAAGACATCAACACAGAAGAGCCTGGAAGTCATACACCTGAAATTTCTGAAATGATAGCAACAGAAGTAAAGAAACACTCCATCAGGCCATAGAAGACATCAGATCAGAAATAACGTCTCAGGCGAGAAAAGAAATGACAACAGTAATGAAAGAAATGTTCAACATATAGGAAGATGACATAGACAAGAAAATAGAAGAGCATAGACAACTCAATGAAACCTTCAGAGAACAATATAGAAAAGAACTAAAAGATATGAAACAGATGCAAACAGATATCCAGAAACTTAAAAATTCCATTGAAAGTTTGCAAAACCACCTGAATGAAGCTGAAGATAGATTTTCAGACCTTGAAGACAGCATTGCCACTAGTGAACATGAAAGGAGGGATCTCTTAAAAACAACAAGGAACCAGGAAATAACAATTCAACAACTGCAAGATGAAGCAAAGAGAAACAATGTCACATTAATACGTATTAATGAAACAGCAGGTGTCAACACAAATGACATAAAAAGACTATTTGCAGAAATAATAGCAGAAAATTTCCCAGGCATGGTAAAAGAATCAGACATCCAGGTAAGTGAAGCATATAGAACTCCAGTAAATCATAACCAAAATAAATTTACACCCAGACATATAGTGATCAAGTTCCCGGAAACTCAACAAAAGCTCAGAATATTAAAAGCTGTTAGAGAAAAGAAACAGATCACCTATAAAGGAAAGCCTATCAGAATCATGGCAGACTTCTCAACACAAACCATCAAGGGAAGAAGAGCTTGGAGTGAAGTATTTCAGGTACTGAAAGAAAACAACTTCCAACCCAGACTGATGTACCCTGCAAAGCTATCTTTAAAATTTAATGGAGAAATAAAATATTTTCATGATGAAGAACTGAAGAAATTCATGAGCGCCAAATGAATCCTACAAAGAGTACTAAAAGATATACTAGAAAGAGATAAAACAGACCACAACTTCAAGAACAACAGCAGAAAGGAACCACCAAGCAGAGCAAGCAATTAAACAGAGGAAAAAGGAGGATCCAACAGCAGGAAAATAGCATGACAAAGATAAGCCAGTACACATCTGTTAAAACCATCAATGTGAACGATCTCAATGCGCCAACCAAAAGAAGCAGACTTGCAGAGTGGATTAGGAAACAAAACCCAACTATATGCTGTATACAAGAAACACATTTAACTCGAAAGGAAATTCAAAGACTGAAAATTTAAAGGATGGAAAACAACACTCCATGTGACAGGAACCCAAAAAAAGCGGGTGTAGCTATTCTGTTTGCAGACAATGTGAACTTCAAACCAAGAACAATCAAAAGAGATAAACAAAGTCACTACATACCCATGGGGGGGAAGACTCAAGAGGAAGAGATAACAATTGTAAACATCTATGCACCAAATATAGGAGCATCCACCTATATAAGACAAATTCAAACAGACATAAAAATGAAATAAGTAGTAACACAATCCTAACAGGGGACTTTAACACACTACTGTCAGAAAGAGATAGCTCAACTAGACAAAAAATTGGGAAAGAAGTAACAAAACATAACCAAACGTGTGAACATATGGACTTAGTAGACCTTTACAGTGTTCCACCCAACAGCATCAGAATATACATTCTTCTCAGCTGTACATGGTACATTCTCTAAAACAGACCATATATTAGTACATAGTACATGTTTAAGTAAATGCAAAGGAACTGAAATTATCCCATGTATACTATCAGACCATAGTGTAATGAAAATATAAATTAATGACAAAAGAAAACACAAAAACCCCATAAGCAGTTGGAAATTAAATAACATCCTCCTGAACAACCAATGGGTCACAGA